TTTTTTTTTAAAGATTTTATTTATTTATTTGAGAGAGAGAGAATGAGAGAGAGCAAGCACATGAGAGGGGGGAGGGTCAGAGGGAGAAGCAGACCCCCTGCTGAGCAAGGAGCCCGATATGGGACTCGATCCCGGGACTCCAGGATCATGACCTGAGCCGAAGGCAGCCGCTTAACCAACTGAGCCACCCAGGCGCCCAGCTAATGCACAGTTTCATTCTGTCTAACTTATCCAGTTGGGAGATTGTTGATGTTAAGTGAATCACTGGTTGGGGTAGGGAGAGGGTCAATTTGAGGACAGCATCCAAGAACCTGGCTTGGGAAACTGAAGTTGGTGAGGCCATTCACCGAGGAGCCTGCTTGTGACGGAACGTGGGATTTGGGATCTGATACAGGAAGTGTAAGGTGTCCACCAGGTGGAGTTGATCTGGAGTTGAGGAACTAAGCCTGGAGCTTGGGTTCTGTTGGTCCTGCTCTTGACCAGGCTCCTCTCTCTGACCAGGAATCTTTAGAGCCCAAAGTCTCTACTGGGCTCAGCGTACTTACACGCTCATCCGTGGCCAGGCCAGCGGTGTCGCGATCTGCCTTCCAAGATGAGCCCTGCCGAGACCCTGAGCTGTCCCCTTTCCGACCATCACACTGCCCAGGAATAAAGCAGAGCAACAGCACCCATGAAGGGTCCTGCTTCAAAGCTCTAGAAATACTGCTCTGTGGAATCAAGTAACTTTCAGCGAGCTCTTTTTCCTCTCCTTTAGATAGAAAAAAGCCTTTCATAATTAGGTACCACCCAATCAGTTTTGTAGTGTTACACATTAGTCATTACTATATAACCACTGCTGTATTTTCAGAGCAAGGCACACCTATATAAACTGATGTTTACAAAGCAAGCACAGTACAATTTAAAGTTTTAGGTTCTACGTGAGCTATCTAATCAGTTTATCTCATTAAAGAAAAATCTATTCTACCTTCTTTTTCTTGCTGTAAAGAAACTTGAAACATTCATTTTTATAATACTGTATTGGTGAGTTTCCACAGTTTTTTATTTTATCTTCTCGTATTTATTTACCGAAAGAGAGCGAGCACGCGAGTGAACGAGTGGGGTGAGGGGCACAGGGAATGGAAGAGAGAACCTCAAGCAGACTCCACGCTGAACACAGAGCCTGACTCGGGCTCCATCCCACGACCCTGAGATCATGACCTGAGCCGAAATCAAGAGTCAGACGCTTATCCGACTGAGCCACCCAGGCGCCCCGCCACAGCTCTTAATAGTTGAAACAGAATTCTACAGTTGTGTAAGGTTCTTTTCTCATCGTTCTGCATTTTTCTTTTACCCTACCCCTTCTGTCCCCTCCCATATCATCCCACTGCTAGAGAGAGAAAGAGGGAGAGAATCATGGTAATAAGGACTGGGTTTATGTGTTCATTCAGTGTATTTTTGGTGAGGTCTGTGCTAAACTCTGGAAGGTGCCAAGGATAAAAGAACACATTGAGGATGGGAGTTCAGACAAAACAAGGAACAAGTACACACTGCAGAGTAAGAAGTGCAGAGGAGGGACAAAGAGCTCCCTGGTGACCTGCTGTGTCTGTCCCAGCCCCGCTAGGCGGCCAGTACAGCACCCCGGGAACACAAGGGCCTGATTTCTGATAGGTGTGAATAGGTACAAGAGTGTAAGTAGTGTGTTCTTGGCAAGCTAACCCATACCCTGTGGCAGAACAAATTTGTCTCTTTTAAATACAAATTTGACAAGTTGTTTGAATTGGGATAAAACCCAAAAACATGAAACCTAAGTGTGTACAAGTTCCCAGGCTCAATGCTCTCCCCACTCTCATTCCCCAGGTCACCAGCCACCACTAACTTGGTGGGCGTTATTCCAGACACAGATATATCTGTGGTAGGGCAGCTTCTAGAGTGAATGATTAGGGGAAGGTCAAATACTATTCTTACTGCTGAGAATCTTTTGTCCCAGTTTTGTCTTAAAAAATGTACGGAATTTACATGTTACTTTCTATTTGTAGGGCCTTCATTTTTTCCTTTTTCCAATTCTGGCGTAGAAGGGACTTCACAACATTTCAGAATTAGCGCTTTAAAAAGTGCAAAGGGTATTTCTGGGACCAAGGGTGGGAAGAGCCCAGGAAGGGGGAATGGAGAACCTGGAAGTGAATGAAGATGAGGACATGGATGGGAAGGAGTTTTTGGGGGTGGGGGTGGTGGGCTGGAGAGAAGCCAGGCTCTGGTAGGCGGGCAGAAGGCCTTGCCTTGTCTTTCTCCTTCCTTAACTGGGCTGGCCCGCTTACAGAGCTGAGGGGCAGAAAATGGCAGGAGAGGCTTCGGCGTGGGAAGGGCAGTGGCAGGAGCAGGGAGGGAGGCAGCTGCAATCTCACAGGGGCCGTGTCCCGGGCCATGGAAGCTGTGCACCGAGAACAGCCTCTACTCATGCCCTTGGTAGGTGGCTTTGGGAACTGCTGTTAGGTTCATGTATTTCCACAGTATCCCATGCCGCTTGTTTACAGCCTATTCTCCACTAGAAGGTGAAATCCTAGAAGATAAACTGTCTTTCATGTATGCCTGTCCCTGGGAAAACTAGACTTGAAGTTGAATGACAGAAAACTTCTGAAGAAAATATATGTCAATCCAAAATGGGTACCTACAAAGAAATGTTTAGAACCCAAACCATTCCTAAGGACCATCTATTCCTTTTATATATATATGTTTTTTTTTTAAGATTTTATTTTATTTCAGAGAGAGGGTGAGAGAGCAAGCACGAGGGGGGAGGAGTGGGAGAGGGAGAAGCAGACTCCCTGCTGAGCAGGGAGCCCAATGTGGGACTCAATCCCAGGACCCTGGGATCGTGACCTGAGCCGAAGGCAGACGCTTAACAACTGAGCCACCCAGGCGTCCCCCATCTATTCCTTTTTAACAATTGGAAGTATGTAACTAGAGAAAGACAAATTCAGGAAAAATAGGCTTTTGATTAAAGTCTCAATTTTACTTATTAGAGTGTGAACCCAGACATATTATTTACCCTCTCTAGCCTTTCATCTGTAGGATGAATGGACAATATAGCACCTACCTCGCTGGGTTAGTCTGAGGAAGAAATGAAAATCTGCCTTGTACACAGGAAGTATTCACATGGACTAAACATAATGAGGGCTTCTGTTCAAAACTCTGTAGAGCACCTGATTCTTCTCAATCTAAAATGAGGCGTGGGTAACACGCCGCATCGCACAGTGATGGGTCTGTCTCAGCCTCCCTGCTTGGTGCAAACACAAAAATCAGGCTACAAGTCTGAGAGTAGGTCCTGATCACTAGTAACTAATGAGCCTCATGAAGGCTGAGCATCCCACAGGTATACAGACAGTCAGTCTGTGGATTTTTACAAAAGAACAGATTAGTTCAGATTTAGGTCTCAATCAGCTGGACCAAAGCAGGCCAATTAAGATGAAAAGAGCGTAAACGTGCTTTGGGTAACCCTCTTGTAACAGCAACTGAGGTACGCTAAGTGTGAGCCCTCGGGCATACCTACGGTCTTGCAGGTATTAGGTACAGGAGGAGAACAGGCCTCTGTTCCCTCTGGAGCCTTGGTTTCCATGACCTGCTCTCAGGGTCCTCCTCCAGAGTGGACTCTTAGCCACTTCCGGCCCCCTTCCCAGGCCCTTCTTCTGCCCTCAAGCGCTGCCCCCAACCCCATATTCCTTCTTCCTTGGTCTGCGGCTCCTCACTTTACCACATATCATCCCAGACCAGGCGCTGGGTTCCCTCAAAAGCACCATGTCTGAAACAGAATTCGTCTTTCTCACTAAACTAGCACTTCCACTCCCACCTTCACTCAGGCAGTGGGTCACCATGGCACATCCTTGCCCCCCACTTTCATATCTACCCTAAGCTCCCTGAGGACCGGGGCTGTGTTTTGTTCACTCCTGCAGCCCCAGCACTAGAACAGCACTTGGTATACGGCAGGTGCTCAATGAATATTTGTGGGGTGCCCGGGTTGGGGGCAATGAGTGCTCTTAAATGTCCGTCAGTAAACACCCACAGCAGCATCTTGCCAATTACCCTCTTTGTGTTCGTTTCTCTCTTTCGGCAACTGCTTACCCAGCAATACTTCTGATAAAAGAATAGGACACATTACTTTTCACATTTAAATCTTCAGAAATAGTAAGAAGCATAAGTTTGACACAGTTTTTCACATTCTCAAATCTCCTATGAGTCAATAAGCAGAAAAAGGGAACGGAAAGTCAGAACTGGATATAGAATTCAGATTTTTTTTTTCTTTCAAAGACACATTTTATACAACTTTCAACATTTATACTTTCAAACAAAATGAGCAAAAAATACACCGAGTGCTAAAAAAATCAAAACAGAAGTAATACAATTTTAATTTCAATATTTTAAAATACAGAAATTGGAAAGTAAGAATACTAAATACAACTTTAAACAAGTCACTGTCCTCCTCTATAATAACCAATGTAAGCTACTTAAAGACTTACAAATTTAAAACAGAAACAAAATAAATACTGTACACTTTCCCTGCCTGCAGGCAAAAGATGGGAAATACTGTTATGAATCAAAAAAAAAAAAAAATGCTCTTAAAGCTTCAGCATCCCATTTCCCAGCCACACCCCACTCTGCTGTCACACCGTGTGCTTCTGTATTCAAAGGACACACATGTGCACACATACTGACTGCCTATACAAACAGACAAGACACTACTCCGCAGACACCCCAAACAAGAAAGGGTAACAGTCACCTTGGACCATGGGCATAAAATTCAGTTAAGGAAAGTCAGTCTGGCTAGCAAAACATTACTACAAAACTAGTAAGTACCATAGCCAACAACTGTCCCCTTTTCAAATTTCACAGATTTAGAACCCCTAAAACCAATACTACCCCCACATCGCCACTCTCTACACCCCCACCCCCCCAAAAAAAAACCTGCTGAAGCACTGGCAAAGTTAGACATTTCACAGTAAATGTGAAAATTCATATTATATAATCTCTTAAAATGAACCTTTTCACCCTCTTTCCACAGCATGAAACTGTTATGGCTTAATTTATATTAAACGTAGAAAAGTCTTTTCGGAAGGAAATACAGTCTGCAAAGATGCATATGTGTTTCCTGATCAGTGCTATTTCATACCTAACAACTGCATGACTTGCTTTTGCAGTCAGAAGCTGTTTTTTGAAAAAACTGAGGTTATAGCTTTTGATTCAGTCTAACCATAAATGTAAGGCCCTTAGTTTGGTTTAGGTTTCTTTTGCAAGATAAAATAACCTTGGGGTTCACTTAGCAAGTTACACCTCAGGTCCCTGACTATAATGTGGAAGTTCTATGTATGCTTTGTAAAAATAAAAGGTTACTTAATGAATATTAGAAGGAAGAAATGATTCTAGGCAAGAAATCAACTCCTCATTATATATCACACTTAATGCTGGTAACTGTTACCAACCAAAATCCACCAAAGAAATGTAAAAGTATGTCTGCGTTACTTTATTCCTGCAAAATGTTATATTTTCCAGCACTTATGATCATTGTTTTGGTGAAAAATCTTGGGGAAAAAGAGCTGATATTTAGAAAAGGAAATGGCCAAAATAAAACTGGGTGGAGGCAAGGTTTATCTTTATGATTAAGTTCCCTTTAGGACTGCTTTCTGAAATAAAGAAAAGTGAATTCAGAATGTCACAGGTCTTGCATAGGTAAACTACTTGGAGGTCAAGGGCTACGTGGTAGCCAGGGTTTATTAGTGAAATAGTGCAGAGCAGATAAACTTGGAAGAATCACTGAATACAGTTTCAAAAAGGTTTTAACAAAAAATTTAATTTTGCACTTATTAAGACAAAGCTTTAGGACACCAGAAAGGGCACCAAGGGTGAGTGGGAGAGTCTAAGGGGTAGAATGCAGGCAAGTGAGTATTATTTTCCCTACCCATTATAAAGGGAAGAAATACTATAAAAGAATAAAACCACAGTCATGATAAGCTAATTGCTTTGGATAAGCAGGCATTTGCTTAACGACCTTACTTTAAAATTTTTGTTTATGTAAGGGTATCAAATATTTGACTTACGGCATGACGTTCAGTGAAAAACAAAACAAAAGGGTTTTTAGTAAGGCTACAGTATTAAAATTACATTACGTTCATCAGCAATGTAGTAAGTATATTATTTGTCCCCCCCTTCTTTCCACCTGACTTGTAGTAAGCGTGTGATCATCATCCACCACTGGATGAGCAGAGGATGCACAGTGTCACACAACAGAGGCTGAGGAAGCAAGGTACCTGAGGTCTAAGGGTTCACTGTGACCCCAGGTGAGTCACTGCCCTCCTGGCTTTCATTTGTCTCCTTTATTTACTGGCAACACTCTTTTCCTAGGCTCACAATTTGAAGCTCAACCTTCTCAAGATTGCTTTAGATAAAGGCCTAGGATATCTGAAAATGACTGATGATTTTTAGCTTCTCTTTTCGGAGGGAGCAATTAGCTTAATAGTTAATGGGGGAAAATGAGCTTTTGAAAAATTTTCAGATTTACATTATTCATTTCTTAATATGAAATTGCAAAATGCTTACATGCTGCAATAGTTACTTCTGGCAGTAGTCAAGTGGGCCGTACAATTACTCATCCCCTCTTTGGGGAGTAGCCCTATGACTATAGAGAGCATCTCTTGAAAAGGGCAGAATCTTCTCCTTTGAAGATGTCCAGTCAGGTCTCCTGCCCAGCACTACAGTGCTTTCTCCCTCTACCCAACAAGCTGCTGTTAGCCAACCCTGAGCTGTCTTTGTTGGTTCCCATCTTCTGAATACCTTCTATTTTTTCCCTAGCTCCTTGGGTAGTTGCTACAGCATTTTAATTCCATGACTTATTTGAGCAGAGACCCCAACTTTTATCTAGTGCCTGAAGAGTAGGCAGAATCTGTGGAGCAGTACTGTGCTAATTCCTCTTTGAGCAAAACCTAAAACCATCTTTGAATTCCTTAAAATCATCTTAATGATCACTTGGGGATAAACGTTCTCACTCTTATCCATAAACTATCGCACTTGTTTTTCTTTCACTTCAAAGCATGGATTCTGATTTTAATTCAACACCTTGTTAGCAATTCTTCAGAGGTTTTAGGTAGCATGCTCTGGGCATATATATACTTGATATGAAACAAATTTTATGAGTAATAGTTTTCACTTAAAAAAGCATATAAATGTGCATTGTCAGTTGTAACTTAAATCATGATAAATTATCTGCAAGTATAAAAAGTGTTAATAATTAAGGAATGCTTTTCTATGTTTTTCTTAACCACCATTTTTATCCAAACTTACAAATGAGAAAACCAAGACTTAGAAAGAGTAAGTGACTTATTTACGGTCACACAGTTGATACATAAATGACAGAACTTGGACAAAAACCCAGGTTCGTGCTCCCTTCCATGCTATATACCACACCTCTCTATTACGAACATTAAACTATTAACTTTTGAAATGTTTCTTAAATTTTAAAAACTAAAAAAAAAATGTACTTCCACTTCTACAGTTGTACATTTCAGTTGAAACTAATAAAGTTATGCTATTTTTCTTAATACGTGGGCCCTCTTTTGCTTAAAGTTTGCTGAGAAATGAAAATAATACTGCTTATTTCTTGGAGAAGATACCTTCAAGAGCAAAGACCCCAACTTCAGCTTTATATTCCCCCACAGTGCTAAGTCGTACTGGGCACACAGACGTTGGATAAATACCTGCTGCCGTCATACAGGTCAATACAGTAGAGTTCATTTAAAAGGCAGTCATTAGGATTGTTAAAAAATAGATCAGTATTCAAGCTAAGTATTTAAGTCGTGATAACGATGGTCTTGTTTTCTCTGAGTTTCTATGATGTCAGTCAGATTTTTAGTTCTGTATGCTTATGAAATTCAGTGTATTTCTAGGATGCTGCACTACTATAAACTGCCAGTTTTGTACTGTTGACTTCCTTAATCAGTCCTGACTTCCTTAATGTCCTTATGTGACATTATGAGTTACAGTACCGGGGATCCCAGGTTAACAGAAGTCACTTACTTGAATCAATAAAGAAAAATCATTATCTACTACTGCCATTAAAATCGCATACGTTAAGTCCAACTGTTTTACCTATTTATTTGCACCTAACTAACTAAATGCCACCACTGTTGTCTCCTTGTCTAAGCTGCAGTGTCTGTGTGGTAGAAGGGTTTATAAACGAGATTGAGGAAAACATCAAAGGTTGTCTATCACAGCTGAATCCAGACCCAGGCTGCAGTCACCTCAAAGTCCAGCCACTTCCATGACATAAAAGGATGCATCAGAGCCAGTAAGTTTAGAACAAGTTTGACCAGGCAACTCACTGGGCCAGTAGGCTGAATTTTCACCAATTTGGAGAAAGACACATGATTCTGTTATAGTGCTTAGATTATCTTACTGCAAGTTTTTTTTAACTTAGCCAGTTCATGGGCTAAACCCGCCAAAAATGAATCCACAGTACCTTCACTTAATACTTACACATACTGGCTACTTAAAATTAGATTTATTGGCCTAAGTACACGGGGCAGATATTGGTCACCATCTTAATTTATAAAAATAAATTGATTTTAATTTTTATAGCTAAAGAAAAGAAGTCAGGTAATTAGAAATACTTAGAGCTATGAAAAATGTAAAGAAAACAAAAGAACCCAAGATCATGATGTAGCTGGAAGAACGAATTGTAATTCTGATCTCTTAAACCAAAACAAAATCATGTGAACTCTAACACTAAAACGGTGTCTACAGAAAACCAAAACATCACAATAATATATTGGGAGGTAGGAAAATCAGTCAAACCCCGACTTTTGACAATCTTGAGATCCAATGACCAAATGACTGATTATATCCATCTCTGAACCAGTTTTGGCAAAGTGTAGACAGAGTCTAAGTAGGCCCTTTACAGACACTTAGTGTTTCCATAAAAATTCTTTTTCCTGACACCCAGATAAGTCCCAGAATTTGGTCCAGTCACTTGGACCAAAAAGGTTAATCCATAAGCTATTTTGTACTTATTCCATGAGATACTGGAGACAGAATAAGAAATATTTCTCTTTGAAAATACACATCTGAATGCAACCATGAAAGATGATGGTATAGATTTTTTTTCTTAGAGCTTCAAGTGATACTTAATACAGAAGGGAAAGTCCTGCTACCTTGCTGAGTAAAAAAGAGACAAATCCATAATATGGCCATATTACTTCTCCATAAAAATAAATTTTATCCTATTTGCCTCTATTTTCTTTGTAGAAATTTGTAAAATGCTCTTTTGTCAGAATTGGGAATATCTTCACCCCAGCCCCAGAAATCACTTCTTTTTATGCCATGGGGAGGAAAAGGGAAAATATAAGCTATTGCGAGCAACCGAAAACTGGCGTTTAGTAAGAACTGTGCATAAAGGAGAGAAATGATTCCTTAAAGCTCAACCAGATACTTAATCTCAATATGCACTGGTTAAGTTAGGACAGATGGAAGAAACTGCAAGAAGCACCCATTTTACTCCAAATCTGTATCTTAAATAATTCTTTAGAAGGTGAAGAAGTAAGAAACTAAACACACATACACCCAAAAGACCTACTCCAACATGCTTGCTTCTGTACAACTTAATATAGTATAGTCCTATTATATTACGGATTATGCAGATTTGAATATACTAAGTCAAACCATATCTCATTATTTTCCAACAAGTTAGGTACACAGAATAAGAGCGTCATAAAATATAACCTCTGGGGCAGGTGCCCGTCCTGCCCTCCAACACCAGCAGTGTGAAGAAGGCCCTCTGTAGTTACAAATGTTTTTGAAAAACTATAAACGCGACAATTTAACCAAACTTATAACCCTTTTCCCACAAGTAGGAAAAAGATATTAAAGCTGTTCTCTTTGGGACCCAGATATCATCAGCAAAAATGAAAATGCAAGAAGCCTATTTTTATAGAATTAGAAGAAAACTGCAATGTCAAACGAAAGAGAAACGTGGGATCTTTTATGTAATTCTTACACGTTCGCTATGAAAGTGTTTCCCTGCAAAGAGAAGAGTCTTGTTGCGTCGTCACAAAAGGATGGGGAGTGCAGAGGGAAGGTGGGATATAAGGTAATCGACCTGGATAACAGTATGCACCTTGGATGTTAGCAAAAGCGAAGCTAATAGCTTATAAAAAACACATGAAATATATAAAATAAAATGATTTTCATATACATCTTAATTTAAAATAATTAATGCATCAAATCCCTGTTTAAGACTTTAACCTGAATATCAAATTTAAGAGTCCAGACTAGTTACTGTTACCGTGGCTCTTCCCCACATGTAACATACACACTATCAAAAATAATTTAAAAACTTTCACATTCTTAAATCTAAATTAGTGAGACAGTTCTCCAGAAATCTTCCAAATAAATAGCTTTAAAAAAGAAAGAATTTAAAAGCTGTTAACTTTAAAAAAAAAAATCTGTTAAATAAATTATTGATAATTCTTTACCCTACCACTGAAAATAAATCAAGACACTACCAACAACAAAATGAAATTCAAGCCCTGACAAGAGACCTTTTCCAGTTCAAGGTCTCTTTTTAAGGTTCTACCCTCCTTCTTCCTCTCCCCCACCAGGTCCAGAACGGTTATTGCTGAGTGGGTGTGGCACAGTGAAAATGCAGCATCTGGTTCATTTTGTTCTTCAGGCAGTGCTCTCTACTGTACATGCAAACTGCTCCGGCGGGGGCGCGGCAGGAGCGCCAGGCTCGCGCGCCTCCGAGACCGGTCTGTCTCCAAAGGGAAGAGTGGCCACAACAGCAGCTCGTCACACAAAGAAACGGGCATGGCCATTTCTGTTCAACTTAAGGATCTTCCCAAGACGTTGTTTGGCTGTTGCCATTCCTTTTTTTGGACGTTTACCTGTAAGACAGCAACAACAGCGTAGATAACAGTGAAAATCATTCTCGACAGACAGCAGCCGGGAGACTTCAAGGCAGAGCTATGCAGCGAGCGATGCTTTTCGGTGTTCTGAAGGGGCAAAGTCACACTCCTGGAGTTCTACGGTTTCGAACCTTCCATCTCATCACTTGAGAGATAAAGGCCAACCTCCTTCACGTGACTTACCAGGCCGACCCACAGTCTGATCCCTGCCTCTCTCTCTCTTGAGCAGGAGCCCTGACCGTATCTTGCCTCAAATTGTGCTTCGGCCACAAAACTGACTGCACTTTCATAAACAGCCCACGTACTGTTTCTCACGTTGGTACCGTGAGCCATACTATCTCCTCGACCTTCACTGCGGTCTACTCTGGCACTTCCCCAACCCAGCAGAGCTAACCCCTTACCATCCTTATCGGGATCTACCTCCTCCTCCAGGAAGCCACTCCCAATCCTCAGGACCGACCTAGGGAGCCTTCTTCTCTGTTCCCACAGGAACCTGTGCATACCGCCCTCACTGCGCCGTCCAGAGTGCATCAGGCTGGACGCGGCTTGAGGGGAGGGACCATTACACGTCTCTCTGAACGGCCGCTGTCACCGTCATACATGGTCCAAAATACACTCAGCCCATAGACGTGTCAAAGTTACCTTTTGTTGCCTGGTTGCTGATAGGTGGTGGATTTGATGCAGGTCTCTTGGTGGGGTGAAGGGGCACTGAAAAGGAAGTTTCACCAACTGGCCTTTCTGGGCTTATGCTGCCATTATTTATCTGGCACGCCCCCGAAATCAAGCTTGAATTCTGCGTATACTTCCCATTTTGAGGGCTTGAGCCACTGCTGTCCACAGAATTCCTACTTTGTACCTTCTGACTGATTTCTGATGAACCTTCCTTTTTGATGCATTTCTGGCCTCTACTTAGATCCTAAAAAAGGAAGGAAATAAGGCTGGATTTTTAGAGTTCCTTTACGATAAGCAAGATATTTAACCTCTCTATGCACTAGCAAGTCAAGGGAGAGAAGAAATCGAATACTGAACTTTGGTTTTCTTAACATGTAGCAGCCACAGACGACCACCCCTTCAGGATGGTCATGTCATTCCAAAACCTCACAGCACGAAAAGACTCAAGTATGGAAGTTTTACATCATAACTCAGGTCCAGAAGAAAACATTTTTATTTTTATTTATATATTATATAAACTTTATACATATATATTTAAATGCGTATATTTATATATAACATATATAATATGTAACGTCTATTATTTATTATAATATGGCATTCTGCATGTGCCATGACATGCCATGGAAGGAACGCGTGGCTGGGACATGTGGGCCTACCAATTCCTCACCACGTCACAGATCCCGTCTCTCTCACGACGTAGTGCACGATCTTTTTTAGAATCTAACTTCTGTTAAGGTTCATCTCCACTGTATTTAAATTGTTTGCTAAAAAAAGCACCTAGGTGCTGAGCCCCAAGCCTGGTTTTCCTCTAACAATTCTTCCTTCAGTCTCTTTAAGAGATCACCGAGTGAGCCATCAGGAAAAAACCAACAATGCTACTGACGGGTAGGTCTTAAAACCAATGGAAAGGGTCATGACCAGAATATAAAAAAGAAAGGAAAATATAAACGTGGAAAGAGCATACTGCAGATGTGATGTTTCATGAAACTAGCTGTTTGTGTGTGTGTGATGTAAAATAAATTCCTAATTCTGTAATGGTCAAATAAGTTTTAAAAACAGCATTACAGGCAAAAGAAATCTGATCTTCTCTAAGGTGATCTTGCTAATCATCCGTCCTCTCCTTCTTTATTTTCAAAGACAATTATAAAAACAACAGCTAGCTTTAAATAATACCTTACTTTTTTAAAAAACGATTTTATTTTTAAGTAATCTCTACACCCAACGTGGGGCCCAAACTTACACCCCTGCGATCAAGAGTTGCATGCTCTACCGACTGAGCCAGCCAGCCGGGCACCCCAATGACAGCTTATTTTCAATACTGAATCCTATAATGCTAATAAGTTATAAACGTAATGACGGTGAGACACTATAAAATCACACATTGAATTAAGTGAATTACTGATAGTTAAGGGATTCCTTCCTTGACCTTTGATTCTGGAGCATATTCTTCTATTAAAAGAACTTGTACTTACAAAACATTGCCTTAAAAAATAACTTGGCTCTTTTTCTCATTGTAAAATGTGTAAGTATTTAGAAAATGTAGATAAGCTACATGAAGAAAATAAAAACCACCCTTGAGGGGTGCCTGAGTGGCTCAGTTGGTTAAGCGTCCGTCTCTTCATCTTGGCTCGATCTCAGGGTCCTGAGTTCAAGCCCCGCATTGGAGCCTACATCCCAGCATGGAGCCTACTTAAACAAACACCTAAGATTCCACCACTCAGTGTATGCTTGGGGTTGGAGAAGTTAGAGGACTCTACTCTGCAGCATGAGAATTTTGATTCTTTGGCTGTCATTTTCCAAAGTTTGTAGCAAAAGGTCATATTGCTTTTCTTGTTTGGTGCTACTGGAAAAGCTGTGGCCTTTCAAAAAGCTATTTGAGGTTCATTTTGTTTGTATAAGCATTAATACGCTGGCATCCCAAGACATCAAGTGTCTTCTCTTAGAGCAAGGGCTCTTAATCTGGAGTTAATGGATGGTCTGGGCTGGTAAGGGTGGGGCACAAAACCATGAGAAAATGCTATGCAAAAATCAGTATTGATGATGAACACTCTCCTGGTAATAGAGTCAATAACTGTCATCAAATTCTCAAAGAAATTTACTGTCTAAAAATGTTCAAGAAACAATGTCATAGATTAAAAAGAGATCCTCAGGGTACTTTTTTTTCCCCCCTTTCCTTCTAGCCAGACATAACCTAGAAGTGTTGGCTGCCAGGAGTTTTTAACTTTCCTTCAATCAACTATTCTTTTCCAAATCGCAGTCTATCCGTGAGCCTTGCATTAGTTGTTACATCAGAATTCCTAAAAACGGACAGCTGCTCAAATGAGCATTTAACTGTAAATTATTTTTTAGCTTTCCATATCTAATGGTTAATTACTGGTTGCAGTAAAAAAAAGAGAAAGCAAAAACAGAGTTAATGACAATCCTAAATCTCCTTTTGATGTTTCAAGCCTTGCATATACCTGAAGATGAAATCTGGAAGTTGTATCGAATTGTTTAATCCAGGAAGAGCTCCTCAAGTCTTGTTCTTCGGTCTTGACATGGTACCCTAAACAGAAGTTTTAATTAAATTATCTCCACACAAATTTGATCATAACAAGCAAAATTAACCTAATGTTATAACTGAAAGTACATTTAGGTTGACATTTTATTAAAAAACGAATATATTAACTCTTTATTTACTCATACACTTTCCACCACACTGCTTTCCCTCTCAAAAACAAGAGAGTCACCAGCTCAGAATCCAGCATGTTAATTCTTTAAATTCTCTCAAAGACTGCCTCTATATGACAGGTTTTGTGCCAGATGCTGGAAGCTCCAGAGTCAAATTCTATGGCCATCTGTTGTAGATGGAAAAGCCAAATGCAATATACTCTCTAAAACCAGTATATTTTTCCATACAGAATGAAGGCATATGCTTGCCTGAACTCTGCAGTACTTTCATAGAAGCCTTCTTTTCAAGTGAGGACCAAAGAAATGACAGGGAGACAGAATGGTGTGGACAGACAAGCCCAGACCTGAATTTGAGTTTTTCCATTACCGATGCATCTTTAGGCAAGTTACTTAACCTCTCTAAACCTCAGTTTCCTCTTACAAAATAAGCCCAGATTTTGAGATCAAATAGTCCTGGGTTCCAATTCCAACACCACTGGATAATAACAGCTATGTAAAGATGGGCAAGTTCAATTAACTTCACTAAGTCTTCTTGCCTCTACCTGTAAAAGTCTTACTACATACACCAAAATGTGGTTTCAAGAATTAAGTGAAATGGATGTCAGGTTGCTGGTATACAATTCACACAACTAGGTAGGAATGAACACAATTTCTGCAACAGGCATTTGGTTTTCTTGTGGTACCATCTTCTCCCGCTTCCTCCTCAGACTTTCGGGCAACAAAATTTCCCCCAAAGGCACAGAGAACAAAACACTACATGGCCATCACGGGTACTGTCACTGAGTCTTCTCTTTCCCAATACTTCTTTTTCAAGTAGGAGAATGTCCTCAACCAGAAACGGATCAAAACTTGTTTTCCCGGGCGCCTGGGTGGCTCAGTTGGTTAAGCGACTGCCTTCGGCTCAGGTCATGATCCTGGAGTCCCGGGATCAAGTCCCGCATCGGGCTCCCTGCTCGGCAGGGAGTCTGCTTCTCCCTCTGACCCTCCCCACTCTCATGTGCTCTCTCTCATTCTCTCTCTCTCAAATAAATAAATAAAATTTTAAAAAAAAAAAACAAAACAAAACTTGTTTTCCCTCCTGCGTAAGGAAAGAGGATTGATGGTTCAAGCCTAGTGGACCACGTAAGACGTCTCAACACTCTTTCCACTCGGAACAGCTTATGAAAGGAAACAAGTACTAAGTGTCTTACAATAGCAGTGGTAGGATTATGCTGGTGAACATAATTCTCCAGCCATTAATTTACATTTTGAGTTCTTATAACTTGCATCTTGTATTTGTCAATATTATGTATTTTTTGGCCAATACGCTTAACATCATTTCCAACTACAGATGTGCAATTCTTATTCATAATGTCTAACCTCAACTAGGATTACAGAGCTATGAAGTTGGGGGTCCTATGTTACTTTTCAGAGACCAATCATTTATGTTTCTTACCATATTCCACTGGTTTATCACAGCGATACACCTGTCTAGCCTCATGGTTACTGCTGTGGCAGCCGCCGGGATCCTGGAGAGAGTCTCTTTCGCCACTGCAGCCTGTGCTTTGTATCTGCCTCTGTAAACATGTGGAGTAGTGCAACCCTGCCATAGACAACATGCCCTGAATAGCTTCTTCCTCTGTGCTCGTCGAGGTAGGACATTCCCTAAAGAGAAGTTAAGCAAAAGGACGAGAGCTTATTTCTTCGTTCGGCATCTTCAGTAACATTTAAAATTAAAAAATGTTTTTGGGGTGCCTGGGTGGCTCAGTTGGTTAAGCGACCGCCTTCGGCTCAGGTCATGATCCTGGAGTCCCGGGATCGAGTCCCGCATCGGGCTCCCTGCTCGGCGGGGAGTCTGCTTCTCCCTCTGACCCTCCTCCCTCTCATGCTCTCTCTCTCTGTCTCATTCTCTCTCTCAAATAAATAAATAAAATCTTTAAAAAAAAAATAAAAAATGTTTTCATATACGCACAGAGTTTCATATAGTTTACATCACAATGTAATAAGACTACTAACCATCAGAAAGCTTACCTTTTAATTGGAATTTCACTTCTAGATGGCTTCTGGCCCTTCTGAAGGAAGTTCCTCATCACAGTAGCGTCCTCCTTGAAGTTGGATGTTATTTCTTGTTTCTTTTCATCACCTGAACTTTCAGACTCTTCAGTGGTAAAATTATTTTTCTGAGATAATAAAAATAGTTGAATGGAAGCAAATCTATATAAGAAATCTGATTAAGTCTCTACTAACTAAAAACATTGTATCAGTCTAGGCAAAGTTAGAATCTTAATTATCACGGAATTATTTCTGTACTTCCTATGACAGAGTTAAAATCTCTAGTGATTACAGTATATTATTCCTTAGTAAAAAACATACAGTACAGGTTTTCTTTAAAGTGAAATGAAATATAACCTATGAGAAATATGAGAAATATAAGAACAGTATCTCCATCCACCCTTTCTAAAACCAGACAAAAACTATGTTTATCAAATGTAAACAGTCACATGACAGGATGCGCGCGCACGTGTGTGTGTGTGTGTGTGTGTGTGTGATTACCATTACAGGGAAGACCTTGTGCCACAAAGGTCATAGAGACGGTCTTTGGGAAAAGCTGTCATTTATTTTCCCCCACAGGTGAAGGAAAGGAGGTGTCATCTTTCCATCAAACAATGCACAAGTCACAGGGGTTTGGGCATACCAGTGCATTGCAATCAGGTCCAGAGTCTTCTGAATCAGAAATATCAGAATATTCTGATGATCGATTCCTGAGTTCTGATTTCACACTTGTAAAAAACCCTGCGAAGAGAAAGGAAGAGAGAAAAAGAGAAAGTCAGTGGAAGCTTATGAACAGGGTGGTACCTGAAGTCAGACCAGCTTCCGCGTAGGTCCCGACTGCCCTGGCTCCATCCATTTCCACTGCTTTCATCTTCTTCATTCCTTTCTTCCCCCAAAGACTTTTCTCCCGAATTGACCAAGATACAGATTGCACTGTACTCTTAAAACGTTTGTGGCATTTACTGAACATGATGGTACATTCCTCATTTGCGTGGAAATTTTCTATCTCTTTCCAGAAAAAAACCTCCGATGCTAAAATTGCCTACAAGATGCTTTTCACTTTCCCTCTTGCATTTTTTCTCTCAACAGAAAACAAAAAGATAACTCTTCTAAACCTCAAAAGCACTCAAATAGACAGTGAATTCAACAAGCTTAAAAAGCAGGCTTTACCACTGCTCTTCTCTCCCACGCGGCACTGCCAACTAACAACTGTTTGATAACTCCATTGATTAGCTGCCTTTCCCCTGGCATGTGACACATGCAGAGTCACCAACTACAGCAATACCAAATTTACTTAGAATTAGCTGGAACTGAGGTATTCAACACAGATGAAATGTTAATTTTTCTTGTCAAGTTATCAAAGTATTTAACCACTTTTTAAAATAGAAGGAGGGTATAAGGAGGCCCCAAAAATGCTAAGAAATTAAGACTTCACTCAACGAAGAACGATCTCAAGAAGGAGGAGGCGTTACTATTTGTCACACTGATGATAACCAATTAGTAAGCAAGTAGAGATCTTCCTGTCAACAGGCCATCAAACAGAACAATACATGGATTACTAGTAGCTTCAGAGAGCTAATTACATATGATTCCTAATTCTGAAAACCATATACATGTTAGCTAAAATTATATTTGACACTGTATTAAAAAAATAATAAAGAAATAAAAAGAAACTGTATTAAACTTCTGACTATCTTATTATTTCGAGTAGAGGCCCATAAGATGCAAAAGCTTTCATGTCACTCTTGTAAAAACTGTCACCCAACAAGGGTGTCACTGACCAGCACAAACCCTCGTCACTAAAAACACCTTCCCTGGGCACGATACCTTGATTGGCAGTCACATTCATGTTTCCCTTATGGATACACTACTCAGAAATACTTCAGGTTTCTCCAAAGAGTATTAGAGACAGGACAATTTTCAGTCCTACTACAAACTTAAGACCTTTAAGATTAGCACATGACTTTACGTATTATCACGTAGGTAATAAGCAGACCTTCAAACGGCCATGAAAACAAACATACTGTTACGTGGTTTTTGAGACTCGTCATTCTCCACCCCTTCTATTCCTGAACTCTCTTCCATCTTCATTTTTGCCTTTTTTGTCCTTCTCTTGTCCTCCTCATTTTCACTATCTGCTGTATAAAGACTTGGATCTGCGAAGGGTTGTCTCTCATCCCTGCACATAGAGGGGAAAATAATCAAGTCACAAAACAGTGCGACATTGCCGCCAAATAGTATGCCCTCCCCCTTAATCTCCAGTTGGAGAGGAGAACTGAGACACTTTCCCTGTATGAGAGTCGGATGTGCACTGGTGGGGACTAGGGAATTAAAACAGAGGGAATCCAAGGCAAACTCATCTGTATGACACTTTGCTCCACTTTACGTACTTAATTATCCTTCCATTTGTCAGCAGTAACCGTAGATCATTATCTTTTGCCCTCCATTCAGGTACCGTGGAAGATGGCTGGAGATGCTTGTTGAATTTTCCATTCAGTTTAGAGCTCAAGATGTCCTTAAAGTATAAAAACAGAACTTAACTTACCATCTGCCCTCAGATGTGCCTGCCTGCCTAAAGGAACCCAGGACGGCGCCACCTCCCGCCTCAGCCCTGCAGCCCGAACTGCGCACGGGGCGCCGCCCTGACACTCAGTGGCTCCTGAAACCAAAGCAGGACTATGGTTCCCCTTTCTGTCCAGCCACTAACAATAAAACACATTTTATAAAGCAGAATGTAAAATTTACATCAAGTAAATTCAAAGACATTTCACTCTCGCAGAAAGCTGAAGAGCTAGAGAAGCAGCGCCTTAATGTGTTTGAATTCTCTTCCCCTCACTCCTTCCTGCTGAAGCACCAGCTGCTGGCTCCTTTCCGGTCCTCCTACCCTTGACCTAATAATCCCTCCTTCCCACGAGGCACTGTCAGCAACTCCTGGATCACCACCCTGCTACCACTGGGGACAAAGGCCACCATGTGACATAAAAGCACAACAGTAGCTGGTTTTTAAAAAAGAGTATTTCCTTCTTGTGGAAATTTCTTTCTTTAATAACAAATAGAACCTTTCATAATAAGCTAAGTCTTCTCCCAGAGGGCTAAGGGTTAAAGAGGTTCAGAACAACAAAGTTTAAAACAATATCAATACAATTATTTAAATGCAAAATCTTTAAGTTATAATTTCTATAGAATTTCTTCAAATATTTTAATTCAGAAATACTTCTATCTTACTCATTTTAAATTATTCCTGTCCTTTACTTAAGATGTGCAATGATGGATGGTATGTCTCATCACAAACTCACTACCATGTTTTACAAAGGCCCCGCCCCTCTTCCCTTTGTCCATTAAGCCAGCATTTCCCAAATTTAAATGGGTTTATTCTAATAGTCTCCCAGTCCGACAGTTGCCCGTGCTGGTACTGCTGGGGGAGGAATAGGCTTTCTGCACTTGCTCTTCCCTCTGTTTCCTCAAAGCTTTGTATCCACTTGACTTCTTCCAGTATTCGTCAGCTCAAATGCCACCACCTGAGAGGCTCTCTGACGGCCCCAGCTAACGTAGCCAGCCACAGCCTAGCCCCTTTACTCTCTCTGCCTCTACTGTTTCAGCTTCCTTCAGAATACTTATTATCTGAAATTATATTATTTTAGTATATCTCTCATCTCCTATTCTTTCAACTTGAGCTGGACTGGAAGCTACACAATGGCAGAGACTTAAGTTTCACTCTGGTAACTTCCCCAGAGCCTAGAAGACCATAGGTTATTTCGTAAACACTCAGTAAACATGTCCGCAAAGAAAATGAGATCTACTCAGCCTACTACACTGATGCCTAGAAAGCTGAAGCACATTCCCGGTCATGGACATCAGTACTGTTGGCCCCTACAATGCTAAGCAAAGATTAGAAAACAAACATGGCCAGACTATTCTTTTTATTATCCCTTTAAAGAACTTTCAGGAACAACCAAGTCTCTTTCTATAACCATAAAACATAATACTTGCCTCTTCCCATGGACACATCTCTAACCTTCTGAGGACCTCCCTTGTATGGAGCTCTAGGATGTCTAGGTTAGAAGGAGTTCGGACATTATGATCTCGAAGTTTCCTCATCTTTCGTCGGGAATGGTATGGGGAAGTTGCTTCATTTGAGGATCGTGAAACTGGACACACAGTAGGAATTCCCTGAGATTTAACTGGTTTGCCATTTTCCTCCTTTAAGAATTAAATTCAGAGTGTTTTTATGACAAGGACACACATATACCTGACTCAATAATCAGCCATAAAAATATTTTAAAAAACAAAAACCATTCATATAAATAGCAAAGACCAAATCGTAACACTCATAAAATTCAACATCAGCTTTGCTGAGATCTTTATTCCCTTCTCTCCCCCACATAATATACTGTGAACATATTTCTTTGATTTTAAATATCATTTTAAAAGCTGGGTAGTATTCCACCATATAATTTATTGACCTGGTAGTTATTATAGGCTGGTAGTTATTATAGGCTGCTTCCAGTTCTTTCCTAAGATGAACATTCTTTCATATATATACTTGAATAAATCAGTAATTGCTTTTTAAACCAAGGTCACCAATCTCTGTAGTTTTAAAAATTAACTCTATAAATATATCATGAAAAGCAGTGGTATACTCTTCCCCATCCCTGATTCCCATTCTCCAGAGGCAACCACTTGCAAGTTTCCTTTCATTGTAGTGACATATACATAATTTTGTAGCACATGAGGTAATATATACATAACTTACCATTTTACCATTTTTAAGTGGACAGCTCAGTAGCCTTAAGGACATTTCACACTGTTATGCAACCACACATCACCATCCACCTCCAGAACTTAATATTCCCAAACTTAAACTCTGTGCCCCTTACACAGTAACTCCCATTCCTCCTTACCACCAGCCTCTGGCAACCTTCTACTTTATGAATTTGACGCTTCTAGGAACTTCATATAAGTGGAATCATATAATAGTTGTACCTTTGTGACTGGCTTATTTTGCTTAATGTATCTTTTTTTTTTTAAAGATTTTATTTATTTGACAGAGAGAGATAGCGAGAGCAGGAACACAAGCAGACTCCCCGCACAGCAGGGAACCCAATGCAGGCCTCAATCCCAGGACCCTGGGATCATGACCTGAGCCGAAGGCAGACGCTTAACAACTGAGCCACCCAGGCACCCCTCACTTAATGTAATATCTTAAAGGTCCATCCATGCTGTAGCATGGGTCAGAATTTCCTTCTTTTTGCAGGCTGAATAATATTCCATGGTGTGTATATTATGTATATGCCACTTTTTGTCCACTCACTCCTCCACCATGGACAATTAGGCTGCCGTGGTGCCTGCAACTCTTAGAGCTGTTTTTGTTGGTGGTAGTGTTACTTGTTCAGTTATTTGCCTCCAAATTTCTAATATGTTTAAACTGTTATTTCTTGGTTTTTCGGCTTTATTTTTTTTTAAGATTTTATTTTTAAGTAATCTCTATACCCAACGTGGGACTCAAAACCACAACCCTGAGGTCAGGAGTCACATGCTCTACTGACTGAGCCAGCCAGGTGCCCCTTTTAGCTGTAGATGTTACTGAATTCCTACTACTCAAGATGAAGTCTCAATCCTTGCACACTTCTAAATGTACACATACTTCCTGTTCCTTCAGTAAACTGGACTTGGTAAAAAGTATTTACAACCCAGTGCCACATAGTATATTATTACATTTCCTTTTTTTTTTTTTTTTTTTTTTACATCTTTGACTTTCCCTTGAGTTTATAACTGTCTCACTCTATAGCTGCTTTGTTTTCTATGTATCTATCACCAGTTGATCCCAAAATTCTTCACTGGAAGAATGCAAACATTTAAACACATTAGGTAATGTATAAATTTTGTATTTTTCTTCGGAGACATCCCCCCTGGACAGGAATGCCAGCTAAAGTACAAGATGCCCGGTTCAATTTGAATTTCAGATAAACAACAAATACGGAGCCCTTCATCCTCCTGAATCCAACCCGGACTGGCTGCTCTCCCGGCCTACACAGGTCATCAAAAATCCCTCCTGCCCTGCTTGCACTCCACCACTTAAAACTGCAACCCCCACCACCATCTCTGGCTGTCACTCCCTATCTTTTCCCCCTTCTGTATCTTTCTTCATAGCATTTGTCAATTCCTGATACATTAAAATATTTATGGCTAGTCTCTTCCTACTCAGCTCCATGAAGGCAGAGCCTCTGTTTTCTTCCCTGCTCTCTGCCCATCTGGGTATTCCATATTTGTTGGAAGAATTCCAGAGCTCCTTTTTTGGCTTATTTCCTCTCTTTTGGAACAGCACCCCCTCTAAGAGTTTCCTGAGAAGGGGTCCATGGGAGGTAAATTTTTTGAGATCTTGCCTCTTTGACATCTTTTTTTTAAGATTTCATTTATTTATTTGAGAGAGAGAAAGAGAGCACAAGCAGGGGGGGAGGCAGGCAGAGGGAGAAGCAGGTTCCCTGCTGAGCAAGGAGCCCTATGTGCGGCTTGATCCCTGATCGCAGGATATACTCTGTTACATGCATTCTAAAATGTAACCACTATGTGCCTTGGCATAGGTCTTTTCTCACTCACTGTACTTGGGCATTCTGTAGGGAAGATGTGTCCTTGAATTCTAAAACATCATCTTTGACTATTCCTCTAATTATCTTCTCCTTGTTTTCTATGTTCTATCTGGACCTCCTATTATTTTGATGGTGACTATGTAAAATGACCTTCTAATTTTTCTGTCCTATTTTAGTCTTTTTTTTTTTTAACTTTATGAGAGATTTTCCCAACTTTATCTTCCAATGATTTTACTAAATTTTTTTTAAGACAGAAAGGAGTTTCTTGGGTGTTTTTTTTTTAAATTAAGATTTTATTTATTTGTCAGAGAGAGAGAGAACAAGCTGGGGGGGGAGGATAGGAGCAGAGGTAGAGGGAGAAGCAGGCTCCCCACTGAACAAGGAGCCTGACGTGGACTCGATCCCAGGACCCCGGGATCATGACCTGAGCCGAAGGCAGATGCTTAACCAACTGAGCCACCCAGGCTTCCCTATATTTTGTTTCTATTATATTTCTAATTTCTAAGAACCCCTTTTCTTTCTTCTTTTAATGCTTCTTTGTTCTAGCCATCTGTTCTTTTTTCATGGAACCAATATTTATGTACTCCTTTCTCTCAAGGATATAAATTATTAATATTTGGGTTTTGGGCTAAAGAACTTATTTATTTCCTTCAAATACATTTTTTTTCTTTTTCTCCTTTATTTTTGGTTGTCGTCTTCAAAACTCTTCTTGGCACTCCATGCATATTGAAAGAGAAAGCAATAAAAGCTAATTGATTTCAAGAAATGGTATGTTTATCTAGAGAACTAGATAAACATACGGGAGGAAAATAATGCCTTAAATTTACCTTATGCTACACACAAAAATTCACGATTAGCTATTTACCCAATTGTAAAACAGGCTTCCAGAAAAAAAAAAGTATCTTCAACCCTTGGGGTGGGCAAAGATTTCTTAGAGAGGACACTAAAAAAAACTAACTATAAATAAGCAACTATAAATAAGAAAACTAATTTACAAATTGATCTTCTATAAATAAGAAAACTAATTTACAAATTGATCTTCTTCAAAATTAAAAATTTCTGCTCGGAAAAAGACACCATTAAGATAATGAAAAGATAAGCCAAAGGCTGTGGTTTGTAAATATTCACTATATTCATCATACATGAATGCATGCATGCCAAATGACAAAGAACTTGTGTCTAAGATATATAATGAACTCCTACAAGTCAATAAAGACAACATAATTTCTTAAATGGTCAAAAACTTCAAAGAGGTACCTCATAAGAAAAGATATCAAAAACTAATGATGTAATGTATGGTGATTAACATAACATAATAAAAAAAAAGAAAAGATACACAAATAGCCAATGCACAAGAAAAGGTGCTCAACATCATTAGTCTTTAGGAAAATGCAAATTAACACCACAATGAAAGACTATTTCATACTCTCTAGAAAAGCAAAAATTAAAAGACGGAAAACACCAAACACCAGCAAGAATAGAGGATGACAACTCCTACACGTTGGTGGTGACAGCAACACAACCATTTTGGAAAACTGTTTGGCAGATTCTTAGAAAGTGGAAATTCACTTATGACTTGATAACTCTACTCCCAGGTACTTACCCCCCGAAACATGAAAACATGTATTTGCCACAAAAAGACATTCAAGGTTGTTTATAAGTTTTATTCATACTAGCCCTATCTGTATATGACCCAAATATCCATCAAAAGAAGAAGGGAAAACAAATCACGGTTTATTCATTCAATGGAATACCACTCAGCAACAAAAAAAGAACTCCTGGCAGATGCAACAACATGGATGAATCTCAAAAGCATTATGCTGAGAGAAGCCAGACACAAAAATAGGATATACTGTATGATTGCCTTTATTTGAAATTAAAAAACAGGCAAACTAATCTGCGATGAGAGCCACACAGGTCTGAATGGTGGTAGCTTATGGTAGTCAGACTGACTAGAAGGGGGAGAAAAGACTTTCTGGGGTGACAAAAATGATTTATAGGTCTCAATGGCAGTAATCATTACACAAGTGTCTACTGAGTTTTCATCAAAACTCAAACTGTACTTCTATGATCTGTGCATTTCACTGCATGCAAAAAGAAAAAAGCTAACTGGGAGCTCTGTGTGAGTAGGGCTTGGGTTCATTGTAGGAAGCTGCCTGGGTTGTTCCATCGGAAGGTTTCAAATGGTCACTATCAGTGGATCTTCTTGGCCTGGGAGGTATAGGCCAGGGTGCTAGTGTTTGGAGAGTCAAGTGGAAAAAGAACCATTCACTGTGTAGACTGTCACTTAATCCTCTTGCTTTCAGTATGGTACCCATGTCCCTCAGCTGGGTTCAGTGTCCCAAAGTCCAGTCTCAAGTTCAATCTCTCAAACAACTAAACCTCCAGAGTTTTCGGCATGTGTTAAGATAGGGATTTGGAAATCAATTCATTTCTTAAATGGACCTATAATCAATCCTGTTCTCAATTCCACCTCCACTCATTCAGAGAGTCCTAGTATCCCTAATTCCTGGCTTTTTGTAGGTTCTCCTGTACAAGTAAGACTTGCCTCTGGGCTTTTCCCTCTGCCCACACAATTTTGGCTCTCTAGCCAGCTAAACCAGTGATCACTTGTATATTTGCTTTCCAGCTTCCAAAACTGGCTGGAGTTCATCTCTATTATTCTCTATGTCTTCAGCAATATCTTTTTTATTCTTTTTTTTTTTTAAGATTTTATTTATTTAGTTGATACAGAGGGAGTGAGAGCAAGCACAAGCAGGGGGAATGGCGGGCAGAGGGAGAGAGGGAAGCAGACTCCCCACTGAGCAGGGAGCCCGATGTGGGGCTCGATCCCAGGACCCTGGGATCATGACCTGAGCCAAAGGGAGACGCTTAATGACTGAGCCACCCAGGTGCCCCAAGGAATATCTTTTGTATTCTTGTACTATCCTTTTAGTTCAGGTATGGTCAATCTACCAAGTTTAATTAGAATCCTCTTACTTATTTTATTAAAGGGAAAATGCTCAATTAAGGGATATGCCATTTAGAAAGCACAAACTAATTTATACTTCCTAACCAGCAGGACAAGAATACAGAATTTTATCTCTGCCCATTAGACAAATGATCATATGAAATCACAAATTATTTGGCATAATGTGGCTGAATACATTTTCACATACTGAGAACATTTTTCATATTTTTATTGGATTGTCATTTCTATTTCTTCTTTAGTGAAATACCTGTTTATTTTCTTTGCACATTTTTCTACAGCCATTTTGCTGCCTTCTGTACTCGCAACCCTCCAATTTTTAAGAAAAATAAACACGTTGTTGGCTACTTTTGCCCAATTATTCTTGCAGGTATAACTCAGCATTTTAAATACGTAATATTAACTTAGTACTGACATATTTTAGAAATGACATTTATTCAATTATTGTTTCACTTCTCTTAGTAAAGATTTATAGTTTTCAAATAGACC